AGGAGGAGGAGGAGAGGAGGAGGAGGAGAGGAGGAGCGAGGAGGAGGGAGGATGAGGACGAGGCTGAAGGGAGGAGAGGAGAAGGGAGGGGAGAGAGGAGGAAGAGGAGGAGGAGGAGGAGGGGGCCCGGAAACGCTGTGATGGGTGGTGGCTGACGCCGCATGCGGGCGGTGCCATTGGGAGCTTCGGTGATGCTCCCTATGGAGTTACGAAACGCTTTACTGGGTGGTGGCTGACGCATGCGGGCGGTGCAACTGGGGCCTTCGGAGGAGCCCCCTTATGGGGACACGAAACGCTGTGCTAGGTGGCGGCTGACGCATGCGGGCGGTCCCACTGAGACCTTCGGTGGAGCTCCCTATGGGGCCACGAAGCGCTGTACTGGTGGTGGTGGCTGACGCATGCGGGCGGTGCCACTGGGGCCTTCGGAAGAGCCCCTTTATGCGGCCACGCAACGCTGTGCCACGTGCTGGCTGACGCATGCGGGCGGTGCCACTGGGGCCGTCGGAGGAGCTCCCTATGGGGCCACGAAACGCTTTACTGGGGGGTGGCTGACGCATGCGAGCAGAATGAGGCGGGGCGGGGGACTGGGGCCGTCGGAGGAGCTCCCTATGGGGCCACGAAACGCTTTACTGGGGGGTGGCTGACGCATGCGGGCGGTCCCACTGGGGCAGTCGGTGGGGCCCTCTATGGGGCCACGAAGCGCTGCACTGGTGGTGGCTGACGCATGCGGGCGGTGCCACTGGGGCCTTCGGAAGAGCCCCTTTATGCGGCCACGCAACGCTGTGCCACGTGCTGGCTGACGCATGCGGGCGGTGCCACTGGGGCCGTCGGTGGAGCCCCCTATGGGGCCACGAAACGCTTTACTGGGGGGTGGCTGACGCATGCGGGCGGTCCCACTGGGGCAGACGGTGGGGCCCTCTATGGGGCCACGAAACACTGCACTGGTGGTGGTGGCTGACGCATGCGGGCGGTGCCACTGAAGCCTTCGGTGGAGCCCCCTATGGGGCCACGAAACGCTTTACTGGGTGGTGGCTGACGCATGCGGGCGGTCCCACTGAGACCTTCGGTGGAGCCCCCTTATGGGGCCACGAAGCGCTGTACTGGGTGGTGGCAGCCGCATGCGGGCGGTGCTACTAGGGCCTTCGGAAGAGCCCCCTTGATGGGGCCACAAAACCCTGTGCTGGGTGGCAGCTGACGCATGCGGGCGGTCCCACTGGGACCTTCGGTGGAGCCCCCATATGGGGCCACGAAACGCTGTACTTGGTGGTGGCTGACGCATGCGGGCAGTTCCACTGGGGCCTTTGGTGGAACTCCCTATGGGGCCACGAAACGCTGTACTGGGTGGGTGAAACGCAGGGAAGAGGGAGGAGGGGGAGGAGGGAGGAGGAAGGAAGAAGGGAAGGAGGGAGGGAGGGAACGCGGGGACCGTCCTTTCAAAACGAGGACCCAACACCACAGGATGGTCGGCAAAACACTCTCCAGGAGCTTCAGGAGACCACGAGAGAGCGTCTCGACACCTGCCCTGTTCGGGTCGAACGGAAAGGGGGGGTACAGTCAACCCGTATCATGAGGACACGCGATAAGGATGCAAGGGCCTTGGTAGCCTAGTTGGAAGCTTTTCGAGCGGGGCGCGGCCAACGAAAATGGCCAAGGATGGACCGAGGAGGCAAGGATGCAAGGGTACCCCTGGGAAGGTTGTCCATCCTCACTATGCGGGTTGACTGCAGCAAAGGATGGGTAGCGAACCAGCTCACGCAACTGGGTCTCCCCCGGCGCCGTACGGCGCCGCACGGCACCAGTGCATCGAGGAGGAGGTCTGGCGGCGGGGCCGAAACCCGCTGCATGCAGCAGATTTCGTACTCACCCCTGCCTCGGGCGGGTGGTAATGAGGGGTGACCACTTCGGAGGAGGAGAATGGGGAGAGGGTGAAGAGCATGGCCCTGAAAAGGGCTCTTCAGGGCCCCTTTCGGGCACCCGCTGGCTCCTCAAGGGCTCCTGTAGGGCCCTTTCCTTGACCCCCCACGTGGGTCAGCCCCCATTAGGCGCGGTGGACGGACCTCTCTTTAGTAAACCTCCCCTTAGTGAAGACGGCCTGGGACCGAAACCGACGGACCTGGACCCGCAGAAATGACGGCCGCGACGCCCCCTCGCGAACCGAAAACGGCCAATTCCTCGATCGACGTGTCAGGGCAGGAGGTCTATCAATCTCCGACATTACCACCCGCCCGAATTGCACGACCCCGCTTAATTCCCAGACCTCCGGCCGCTCCAAGCGTTTCGATGCGTTGGCCCCCAAAAAGGTCTGGACCACGCCCCCGAAGCTAGCTTTTCGTCCTGAGTCGCTTGTTGTTGACGGCCTCCGGAGGCCCGTGGAGGGCCCCCGAGCTGAAAACGGTGGAAAAACTGGCCGCTCCAACTGTTCGGTGCGTAGGATCTCCAGGCAGAAGAACAAACAATTGCATGATCAACATTTCTCGGGGTCCGCCCGGATCCCTGTCACGAGCGAACAACACACATACGCACACACACACACACACACACACACACACACACACATATATATATATATATATATATATATATATGTAGGAGGGTCGGAGAGAGGAGGGCTGGCTATGGGTCTGTAAGTATGGGTGCGGGTTGTCGGGCCCAGGGGGAGGCTCCCGTTTGAGCGGGGACTCCCGTACGACAGCACGCACACATGGCCCCCTCCGCCCCCCCTGCGGGCCCAGACTCCCGACGTCATGATGTTTTGAACAGCGCTAACCCCTAGAGGCCTCGACCCACTCTGGGGCCGGCTTTTCACCCTGAGTCGTTTCTTGACTGTCTCGAGGCCCGGCAAGGGCTTCCCCGACATCACAATTTCTCCACAACGTCGATTTCCCAGGACCAGCTTTTCAGCCCGAGTCGTTCCCTGACAGTCCCGAGGCCCCGTAAGAGGGCCCCCCCGACGTCACGATTTTCTCACAGCGTCGACCCCCAGAGGTCGCGACGCACTCCTCGGGACCGGTCTTTCAGCCCGAGTCGTGTTGTCGAGGGTCCCGAAGCCTGGCAAAAGGGCCCCCAGAGGCCGCAAACAGCCGGAAGGCCTCCCGCCGTGACTTTGTTCAGCGCTGTCCCGTCAGAGCGAGGACCCAACACCACAGGATGGTTGGGAGCCACAACCCCACGAAGCGTGTGGGGAAACACGTGGTTCAGCGCTGTCCCTTCAAAACGAGGACCCAACACCTCAGGATGGTTGGGAACAAGAGCCCGACGAAGCATGAGCGAAGCGATGAAATACGAAAAAGCTCCAGTCGTGGGTTCCTCCCGACGCGAGGGGGCCAGGGCCTGTCACCTCCTAGGGGCATGGGCGCGACCTCGCTCCTCCAAAGGCCTCCTACGCAGATGGGGTCTGGATGGGGCTGGAGGACCGCACCGCATCGCCCAAGCAGCGGCACTGCCTCGGCGCTGCCTCGGAGACGCCTCGCCGGCGCGACGCACCGGCGCCGGGTCGGCGTGGCCAAAGGTTGGGCTCCGCATCGAGCCGCATCGCCGGTGCATCGGCGATGCGGCGCGATCCTTCGACCCCATCCGCTGCGACCTCCTCTGGGAGGCCTCGAATCTCTTAGGCGGCGACTGGCAGGGAAGGGGAGCGACGATGATGATGAAGATGATGATGATGATTGATGATGAGGATGGTGGTGTTGGTGATGAGGATAAGGATGAGGATAAGGGTGAGGATAAGGATGATGGTACTGATGATGATGATATTGCTGATGCTGCTGATGGTGATGATGATGGTGATGATGAGGATGATGATGGTGATGATGATGGTGATGATGGTGATGATAATGAAGATGATGGTGCTGATGATGACGACGATGGTAATGGTGATGATGATAAATATGGTGATGATGATGCCAGTGATGATGATGATGATGATGAGGATGGTGATGATGATGATGATGCTGGGGATGGGAATGATGATGATGATGATGCTGCAGATGATGATGATGATGATGATGATGATGATGATGATGATGATGATGATGATGATGATGGTGATGATGATGATGACGGTGAGGATGATGATGGTGATGCTGATGATGATGCTTATGGATATGACGATGATCATGGTGATGATTATGATGGCGATGACGATGATGATGATGATGGTGGTGGTGGTGATGATGATGACGATGATGATGGTGATGATAATGATGACTATGATGATGATGATGGTGGTGATGATGGGGACGGGCATTATAATGATGATGCGGATGATGATGATCGTGACGGTGAGGATGATGATGATGGTGATGATAATGATGATGTCGATGATGATGCCGATGATGATGATGCCGATGATGATGGTGATGATGATCGTGGTAAGAATGGTGACGACGATGATGGTGATGGGGATGGTGATGGTGATGATGATGATGATGATGATGATGATGGTGATGCTCCTGCTGGTGATAATGATGATGATGACGACGATGATGATGATGGTTATGATGTTGGTGCTCCTACTGTTGATGATGATGACGACGACGATGATTATGATGATGCTGATGCTGATGACGATGACGATATCGTCATCGTCATCATCGGGGGGAGGCCGCCTGGTGGTCACTAAGGCGGCGGTGGGCCCCTGTCGGTACGTCGTACCCTGCACCCCCCGGGCAGGAGGCGGGAGGGCGCGAAGAAGCGAGGGAAGAGGAGGGAAGATGAGGAGGAGGAGGAGGAGGAGGAGCAGGAGAACGAGGAGGAGGAGGGAGGAGGAGGAGAAGAAAGATAAGTGGGGAGGAGGAGGAGGGAGAGGAGAAATGAGGAGGGAGAAGGAGGGGGAGGAGGAAGAGGAACGATGAGGAACAAGGAGGAGGAGGAGGAGGAGAAGGAGGAGGAAGATGAGTGGGAATAGGAGTGGGAAGGAGGGGGAGGAGGAATGGGGCGGGAGGAGGAGTAGGAGGAGGAGGAGGAGGAGGAGGAGGGAAGGAGAAGGACGGAGGAAGAGGAGGAGTAGGAGGAGGAGAAGGAGGAGGAGGAGGGGGAGGAGGAGGGAGGAGGAGGAAGAGGAAACGGAGGAGCGGAGCGGAGCGGGAGGAGGAGGAGGAGGAGCAGGGGGGGCGAGGACGTCAACAACAGCTATGCTAGGCAAGGGGCCCCTGAGGGGCATTATCCCCTGCAAGCCATGCTGGTTCATCTGGCGTGTCCGCCGAAATCAAGCCTAAGCATACGTTCAAAGATGTCGACAGCAGCTATGCTACTCAGTGGGTGCCTGTGGGGCATTCCCACCCACCAGCTATGCTATTGCACGCGACACCATACTCCAACCCTCCCTGCCCCCTGGCGTCCTTCTCGCAGCCCCCATCCCCCCGCTGCAACTTGCTAACCTCACTACACACACACCACTCATGTGGCGGTGGGACGAGGTGATGTTGTGAGATCGCGGGTGGGCCTGGCAGCGGCGCTCGCCACAGGCCCACGCGGCGAGAGCCACAGCGAGGCCGTGGTCAACGCAGCCGCCAACGCACCACAGGCCCGTTGCACGCCCACGCTGGCGTTCACCTCCAAGAGCAGCAGAGCTATCGGTACTCGCAAGAGCAGAAGAGCTTTCACCTCCAAGAGCCTGCCGCCCGAACGGTACTCGCAAGAGCAGCAGCGACTATCGGTCACCTGACACAACTGACGGTGGGGGGGGGGTGATATTTTCGGAGCGGTGGGGGAGACTAAACCTATAGCAAGCCACCGCCGCGGATGGCAAACACACATCTCCAAGCACGGTGGAACTCCTTCAAGCGGCCACCCCTCCCATGACCTGGGTACCCTGCTCCTGCCTCAGCAGGGGGGTCATGGGGATGGTGGCCGCTCTGAGGGGGGTCCCATGTGCAGGGGGATGAGGCATTTCGGCCATCCACTCTTGCACGAGCGGACGCAGTCACTCCCTGCGAGTGCGATGGCTGGGTCGGCCGTGGCCGAACGGCAACGAGCTATCCGATCTCAGCGACAGGCGCCCTCTGCATCTTTCCACTTTCCCTCCTACGCTCACTTACAGCAGCTGCGGCCCAAGGTTGCCTGCCAGCAGCCGCGCTCCCCCACGGCTCACTGGACGTTCGGGAGGATTTGATCCGGGGGGGGGGGACTACAAAGATACAGTGAACCACCGCCACAGATGGCACAAACAACCCCCACGCACGGTGGAACCCCCCCAAGCGGGCGCCACTCCCGTGATCTGGGTACCCTACTCCTGCCTCGGCAGGGGGCGGTACCAATCCTGGGGACGGGAGCCGCTTTGGGGGGGTCCTTTGCGCAGGGGGTGAGGCCTTTTCGGCATCCACCTTGGCGAGTGCGGCCACGGCCACTCTCTGCGAGGGCGATGGCGGCCAATAGACTTCAGCCGTCAGCTGCTCACGTACGCCCCCTGCCCCACGCCGTCGTTCTCACCCTATCGATGTCCTCGTTTGCTACACGCCCACACCTCCACACTTTGCATGACCGTCCCTCTGGGAGCCGGAGGCCCGTTGCTCCGCCTGCAACCCGGCCTGCCTCTGTTGCCTCCCCCCCCACACTTCCAGGCCTGCCGCACTGTCTTCCTGGAAGCTGGAGGCCCCTGTCCAATAGGGCACCTCTGCAAAAGGGGACCCTGGGCACCCTCCGGAACACTGGCCCAATGGGGCCAGTTGACTCGAAGGAGGGGGGACCCGGCACAGCCAAAAGACGCGCCGGCCCCAGGGCCCACCCACTACCTTTTTCGCCACCGCCGCCACACAGCCGCCACGTCACCCCTCAGCCTTCGCGTCCTTCCTCAAGAGGTTCTGATGGATGTGATGTCTCTCCTCCTCTCCCTCCGTCCTACCTGTCTGCTGGACTTCTTGTCAAAAATTTTCTACCGTTGGCCGACTGGCCAACCGGTGGGGTGGCCGACTGGCATCACTGCGGAAAGCGGCAGCGTGCGAAGCAGTCGATTGCCATCCGGGACAAAAGGATGAGGATGAGCATGAGGGGGAGCGGATAGACACTCTAGACACAGCTGCGAGGAGGAGAAGGAGGAAGGAGGAAGAAGGAAGGGGAGGAGGAAGGAGGGAGAAAGGGAGGGAGGTAGAAAGGAGGGAGGAAGGGAGGGAGGAAGAGAGGGAAAAGAGGGAGGAAGGGGGGGCACCTCTGGAGGTGTCGAAGTCGAGAGACTGGTCGCCGGCGGCGTGGTCGGCGGCGGAGCCTCAGCAGCATCAGTGGCCTTCGCCACCACATTGGCTACGCTGATGGGGCCCGAGGAGATGGCCTCCAGGACGAGGACAAGGCGAGGAGGGACGAGGGAGGAGAGAGGGGGGAGGAGGCGGCAGGCCCGGTGGAGGTGGGCGGAGGTGGCAGGAGGACGGGGGGGCAAGATGGGGGGATAGCAGGAAGGGGGGGAGCAGGAGGGGGCGGGGGGCAGGAGGTGCGAAGGAGGGGGGAGGAGGGGGAGGGGGAGGGGGAGAGAGAGACTTGGTTGGGCAGGAGGAGGAGGAGGAGGAGGAGGAGGAGGAGGAGGAGGAGGAGGGAGAGGAGGGAGACGGAGCCTCGACGTCCTGCAGGGTAGACACGCTCTTCGCCACCGCGGCGCCCACGGCCTCTGGCTCGCCGCCCAGGGCGGACACCAGCTCGTCGAGCAGCACGCCGGACGGCGGGGTGACGAAGGCGCGCACGAGGACCGAGCCTCGCCGGGCAGGCCCCGCCGCTGTGGCAGACAGCCGACGGCGCGCCCGCACACCGACGCCGGCCGCGCCCAGCCCGAGCCCCAGCCCGCGCCCCAGGCTCAGCGCGCACGCCCCCCCATCGCTGGGCCGGGGAGGCGAGCGAGCCCCGGGGCCCAGGGTGGGCCTGGCCGGGATCGGTACGGACGCACGTCAGCCGTCCTCCGACCGAGGAGGGCAGGGGGCCCAGGGCAAAGCCTGGCCGGAGCAGATGCAGTCCAGGGACATATGTGGGCCTGGCGGCGTGCGGTGTGCGTCACCGTTTGTTCCACCTGGCCAGCGTCTGTCTCTGTAGGGCCTCCTGGCAAGCTGCAGCCGAAGCCGGAGCCGCTGCCAGGGCCAGTCAGGGCCAAGGCCGAGGGCAAGACCAGGGCTGGGCGGACGTCGTCGCCAGCGTCGAACCAATCGTCGCTGGCGTCACACAATCCGTCCACATCATCGTCGGAGTCGTTCTCGTCGTCGTCGTCGTCATCGCCGTCGTCGTCGACGCCAACGTCGAAAGCACGAGTAGCCCCCAGAGCGGCGGAGCCTGGCTCCCCGAGGCGGCGACCGGGGTCCTTTCTCGGCTCGGAGGTGGCGGCTGCCGCTCCCTGGCTCAGCTCCAGCGCGATGTTGCCGGGGAAGACGGTGATGCTGTTGGCGATCATGAGCACGCCGATGAGAGCCTCCTTGACCTTCGCCTCGAAGGCCCTGGAGAGGCCGTCCTCCCGCGAGAGCTTCACGAAGTCCACGCCGTACACGCTCATGTCCACGCCGCAGAGGTCCAGGGACGGGCCGGTGGGTTCGCTCCGCTTCGGCTTCTCCGTGGTCGGCGCGGCGGTGGGCGCCGCCGTGGGCGCCGCCGTGGGCTCGGGGGTCACCTTCTGGAGGTCACGATCAAGCGCAGGAGAAAGGACGTGTTGTGAGGATGCAGGGCGCACCAAGGCCCATGCTGCAACAACTGCAGCGGCGTCAGGCCAAGCGACGAAAAGCGAGCAGATAACAAGCCAAGGGCCACCTCCTTGAAGCACTGCACTCTTGCTAATGCCGCAGGTTGGCCATACGCTCATCCTCCTCCTCCTGCTCCTGGTCCTCCTTGCTCCTGAACCTGCTCCTGAACCTGCTCCTGCTCCTCCTTCTCCTCCTCCTCCTCCTCCTCCTCCTCCTCCTCCTCCTCCTCGTCCTCCTCCTCCTCCTCCTCCTCCTTCCCTCCGTCACTCCGTCATTCAGCAATTCATCATCCCCCCCTGCTGGGAGAACAAAGTAGCACCACTGGGTTCAGCTCGCCCTTCCTGTAGCTGAGGCACAGCGACTGCGGATCCTCCTCGGTCGCGGCGACCTCGCTCGTCCAGAGGCTGCACTTGGACCTCATTCCGCTATGCTCCTGTTCCTGTTGCTGCTGCTCCTCCTCCTCCTCCTTCTCCACCTCCTCCTACTCCTCCTCATTCTGCGTCTCTTTCCTCCTGCTCCTCCTGCTGCTCCTCCTACTCCTCTTCCTCCGCCTGCTCCTCCTCCTCCTCATCCTGCTCCTCCTGCTCTTCCTCTTCCTCGTCCTCATCCTCATCCTCACCCTCCCTTCTCCCCCCCATCCTCAAACCTCCTCCTCCTGCTCCTCCTCTCCCTCCTCCTCTCTCCTCCTCCTCCTCCTCCCCCTCTCTCCTCTCTCTCGCTCCTCTCCTCCTACTCCTCTTTCCTCCTCCTCACCCCTCCTCCCCTCTCCTACTCCTCCTCCTCCCCTCTCATCCTCCTCCTCCCTCCTCCCCCCTCCGCCCTCCTCCTCCTCTCCTCCTCCTCCCGCCTCCTCCTCCTCCTGCTCTCTCCTCCTCCTCCTCCTCCTCCTTCCTCCTCCTTCCTCTCCTCCTCCTCCTCTCCTCCTCTCCTCCTTCTCCTATCAGCATCATCAGCAGCATCATCAGCAGCAGCATCATCATCGGCATCATCAGTATCATCAGCATCGCATCAGCATCACCAGCATCATAAGCTTCATCATCATCAGCAGCAGCAGCAGCAAAATCACCACCACCACCACCACAATCAGCATCATCATCATCATCATTCGTCATCATCATCATCATATCATCATCAATCAATCAACAGCCATCAGCATCATCATCACCACCACACCATCATCACCACTCATACCACCAACCACCGAAACCACCTCATCCCATCATCAGCATCAGCATCATCTTCATTATCATCAGCATCAGCATCAGCATCAGCAACATTCACAACAGCAGCACATCATCATAATCAGCATCTGGCATCATCATCATCATCAGCAGCAGCAACAGCAGCATCATCAGCATCAGCATCAGCATCAGCATCATCACATCATCATCATCAGCAGCATCAGCATCAGCATCAGCGTTCATCACCACCAGCATCATCATCTCATCATCATCATCATCATCATCATCATCATCATTAGCATCATCATCAGCAAGCCAGTATCATCAGCATCAGCATCAGCATCAGTTCAGCATCAGCATCATCATCATTCATCATCATCATCATCATCATCATCATCATCATCATCATCAGCATCAGCATCAGCATCAACATCATCATCATCATCATCATCATCATCATCATCATCATCATCATCATCATCATCATCATCATCATCATCGTCATCATCATCATCCGCGCCCGCACCCAACCCCCACCCGCAGTCCCAGACTTCAAGCGACTCGAACAAATACCGTGCTGGGTGATGCGTCGCAGTTTGAAGGTCTGATGATGAGCACCAGCACCAACACAGGCAGGGGGCAGTCTCGTCCAGGGAAAAATGATCCTGGATGTTGGTGATGGTGGTCATGTTGCGGCCACCCAGGAAGCCCGACTATGACGACCATCACCGAGATCGGGATCACTTAGACATGGGGGGAAAGGGGTCCTGTGGGAAACGGGCTCTGGATCCTGGGGCCTTCCCCCAAGACGAGCTCTTCATCCTGAACCGTTTCCGGACAGTCCAGTGGGCCCGTGGAGAGCCCCGAGAGGCCAGAGGACGGCGAAAAGCCGCAGCACCAATTTCCCTCAGGACCCGTTTCCCCCATGGTGCTGGGTCGGGCATGTCCCCCAGACAGGCAGATGATGGAGGGAAACTGAAAGATCATAGAAACAAGCAACAACAAATCGCAGAAAAAAAAACATCGCCATACAAGGTTTGGACTGTGTTCGAAGTTCCCTCCTGTAGAGGGACATGCCCGACTTAAACATGGTGGCATGACCCAAATCGGGACCAGATGCGCTCGGTGAAGGCGCACCGCCGGCTCTGGGGCGCTGGTGCCAGCCGCCCGTGGGGGCCCCCCTGCCCCTCGGGGCCCCGGGGGCCGCCTCTCGCCGTGGCCCCGAGGCCCTTCCAGAGGCGGCGCGGGGCGAGAGGGGCCAGCCCCGGGGGAGGAGGAAGGAGGAGGAGGAGGAGGAGGAGGAGGAGGAGGAGGAGGAGGAGGAGGAGGAGGAGGAGGGGGAGGAGAAGGCGGAAAAGGAGGAGGAGGAGAAGGGGGAGCAGGAGGAGGAGGAGGAGGAGGGGGGCTTGCGGGCCGAACAGAAACGAGCCGTCGACGGCAACTTCCGGGAGGCCGTCGTCGGAAAGCCTACCGTCGAGCCTAAGCAGGCAGCAAGGGGGGGATTCTCGTGGCCACGGCGAGCCTCGGCCGCGATCAGGTTCCCCGACCTGGGCCTGAGGAACGGCCTGACATTCGGAGCCCCTCCTGAACCTAAAGTGGTCCGCAGCCATTGAAACCTCCAACAAGATCTTCCCTCGTCCTCCTCCTCCTCCTCCTCCTCCCCTCCTCCTCCTCCCTCCTTCCTCCTCCGCCGCCTCCTCCCTCTCTCCTCCCCCTCCTCCTCCTCTCCTCCTCCTCCCTCCTCTCCTCCTCCTCCTCCTCCTCCTCCTCCTCCTCCTCCTCCCCCTCCTCCTCCTCCTGGTGTTGACGGCGTTTCTGGCTTGGAGTTGTTGGAGGTAAGGCGCATGGCTTGCAAAGAGCCGCATGGCGCTCTGCGTGTTCCATGGCGAACCGACTTGGAACACGGCAGTGTCCCCGATTGGGAGGTGGGGCAAGGAGGGTTAGTTCACACCACATAGTCTGTGAGATTGGTTTAAGTCAAGTGTTGGATGCCATGTTGCGGGCATGGTTGGGGCAGTTTGTCTTGACGACAATGAAGTAAGGGCTGGGAGCCAGATTCTAAATATTGACGAGCGTGCGGTGGCATGATGTTCTAGGGCTCTGCCTGAAGAAACGACGGCCTCTGAGAAAGGTTCGATCGAAACCTGCTCACACATACTTAGGCTAGGGCCACAGATCTGGGGTATCAGGATTGCGAGCTGTGCGGTGGCGCCGAAGATTTCACTCGGCACCGTTTGTTGCACTTCCCCTCTCGTGAGGCTGATCGCGACTGGCTGGTACCAGCTAAGGTGCAGAAGTGGGCCCCAGATGCAGACGATGCCTTTGCCATTTGCGGCGTCCTGCCTCTCCCACTTGAGCATGATCCACAGCCTGTGTCAGAGGAGAACGTGGTCACCGAGATGCGCCCTGGATTTGCAGATCTGGGCATTGGCAAAGATGTCATGACAAAGTGTTTGCAGATAAGCCCTGGGGGCCGAATCGTGTCGTATGGGACGGGCCGATACGTTTCTTTATCGGGAAGCGCTGCAGGATGCAATTCGTGTTAGTGGTTCCGTCTGGACTCATCTACACGAAAGTCACTCCTAGAGCTGAATGGCATGAATGTGCGGCTGATGCGAAGCATTGAACTGCTCGTGCCACCATGGTATAGGACTGCGTGGATGTGGGTGGTCTTGATGCCCGGCCTCCGGTAAACCAAACTAGCTACAAACGCAGGTATTATGGTTTCGCTGAAATTGGTCAGAGAGAAACTCACAGTACATTAGTACCGCAAGGGTAAGGCGCACAAGGAAGTATCGGAAGCTATTGATTCCCACGGCATGTGCTTGTATCCTCGAACAGCCCTTATAGCGGTGCGATGGCGGTAGAAACAGTGGGGCCGGAGGTGGCGTTGATGCCTCTCTTACAGGTAGCAGACTGGGGCCCTGCGCGCGGGGGCCCTAGCCATTCCGAGGAATTTGATGCCCCAGGGTGGTGGGTGGGTTGCTCAAAATCGGCCGAGCGCCTGAGCCCAAATGGCCACAGGCATCGGGCAGAGTGAGAGCATACACTTTCGTGCTGGCACACAGGGCCTACGAGTGTCGGCAACGATTAAGCAGATGCGTCTACCGAGGATGCTGCACGGACACACCCGCAAACGAACTGCTCTGTCTGTGACGGAAACTGTTGATAGTGTTGCCGCTTCTCGGGCTGTGGGCATGCTGGCAGCCAAGCTGCTGTCCCTCTTGTTGCACTCTGCGTCGAGGAGGGAGCTGAACGGGTCCAGGCACCACCGCAGGCGAAGAATTCTCCCATCCCGCCGCGAGACGTTCAACTCGAAACTCTGGCGTTGCGAGGGCTGTCCTGAAGTTTCGGGTTGCGCGCCCGGATGGGCCTCTCTGGCCCAGTGCCTGCGATGCAAGGCCGACTGTGACCACGATCAGGTGAGGAGCCTGGCCGAAGAATAAAAAGGTCGCCAGACGTGTAGGAGCTTGCTGTGCCTGGACGACCATTTGTGCAGTGAGCCACTCGAAGCTCCCTGGAGTGGGCGTCCAGCCAAGCCCCTGGTCGCGATGATCGGGGCGGAGCGGCGTGCCCTTAAGTCTGATTGGTTTCCCTGTTGTGAGGTGAATGGCATATGCTGCTGCTTCCTCCTTCCCTCCACATACCCGACGGCCTCGAGTACAGTCAGGCAGCGCCCCTGACACCAGGAGGAGGAGAAGGAGGATGGGGAGAAGGAAGAGGAGGAGGAAGAGGAGGGGGGGCGGCAGTCGACGACTCGCCACGACATCAGGAATCAGGAATCAGGAGGAGGAGGGAGAGGAGGAGGAGGAGGAGGAGGAGGAAGAGGAGGAGGAGGAGGAGGAGGAGGAGGAGGAGCAGTTGGAGATGGAGGAGGAGGAGGAGGAGGAGGAGGAAGAGGATTTCATCCCTCTGCTGTACTGGAGACCCCCGGCCCCATAGCCTCTTAGCAACGACGGCAGCGCGCACACTTCTGCACTCCGTGGGGCACACGGGCCGCCCGCACGAGACTGAGGGGCCAACTTCCCACCACCACCACCACCACCACCACCAGAGGTAGGACGGGGAGGAGGGAGGAAGGGGAGTTGCTCCTCCTCCGCCTCCATCATTCCTTTTCCTTATACATAGCTGATCCCTGTCGACCCCGAGGCAAGTTTTTAAAGCGTGCCGGACGTTTCGCCTGAGAAATCCTCACCATTTACGACCCTGACGCTTAAACATTGACAGCAATTTCACATATGGAGGGTGGGTGGTTTTCAAAGTGTGGCTCTCGCCTTCGCGCAGCGTGCTTTCGTTTTAATAAACTGCCAGAGTTTCACAGGTTGAGGGCCGGTGGTTTTCAAAATGCGGCTCTCGCCTTAGCGCCGCGCACATTCCTTTTAATAAATTGCGAGAGTTTCACGGAGTGAAGGCGGGTCGTTTTCGATTTCAGAATGTGGCTCTCGCTGTAGCGCCGCGCACATTCCTTGTTAATCGATTTGCAGGAGTCTGACGGATTGAAGGCGGGTCATTTTCAAAATGTGGCTCTCGCCTTAGCGCCGCGCACAACCGTTTCTAATATTTGAAAGACTTCCACGGAGTGAGGGCGGATTGTTTCCAACATGTGGCTCTCACCTTAGCGCCTCCTACGTTCGCTTGACAAGAATTTGCAAAAGCTTCACGGATTGAGGGCGGCTCCTTTTTCAAAATGTGGCTCTCGCCTTAGCGCCACACATATTCGTTTCAATATTTACAAGAGTGTCACGGAATCCCAACGGCCAACGTACCAGACATAGCGTTCTGGAAGAGATTGATCCGTGGCGTTGGAATCCCGAGAACGGTGCTTTGGCATGCATCAGGGTCTCCAAACGGTTCTTCCGACGAAGCAGTTCACTCAGTGGAAGCATTGCAGGGGCCTATGAAGAGGAAGCTTGGAGAGTTTATTCAACATTTGTTGGTCCTCCTCCTCCTCCTCCCTCCTCCTCCTCCCTCCTCCTCCTCCTCCTCTCCCTCTCCTCCTCCTTTTCTTTCTCCTCCTCCTCCTCCTCCTCCTCCTCCTCCTCCTTCTCTTCCTCCCCCTACTCCCTATGGTAACGGTGTGGAGAATCGGCACGTCAGAGCAGGCACCCACATCCGGGTCCGAGAAACCAGACCGGACCAGCGAGGTCGAGCACGGAACGGGAGAACGGCCACTGGGCGAGAATCTTCTCGGTCTCAGCACACTTCGGGTGGAGCTCGCAGCCTCATTTATCTTCCAGTCGGCTTTGCAGTGGTTGCAGTGGGCTGGACACGGCGCTCCGAGACAAGTCGGCGTACTGGTCGCGTAATGAGAGCACCTCTTGCAAAACAGCAAAACCTCTCCAGCAAGGACCGCGAGCTTGGCCGAGAGCTTACACCATTCGAGATCGTGGGTGTCCGCGAAGCGAGCTGCCTTGAAAAAGCTAGGAGGCCTGTCTTGAACACGACACCCCTTGGAATCGAGAACAGAAATGGGCGCATCCCTACGCCTAGAGGCACCTCACACACTGCCACTTACACCGACCTACCTGTCAAAGAGTCATGTGCAATCGCACACAGGGCCGCCTTGGAGGAGGAGGCCGCCTCAGGTTGGCCCACTCTTATTTCGAGGACAGGCAAGGAGGGTGGGGAGGACGAGGAGGAGGGACAGGAGGACACATGCTTCGCACCAACAATGATCATGGCCCGGCCCGCCCTGCGTCAACACTGGTTCCGTGCACGCCACCAGCACTACCATAGGGAGGAGAGGGAGGAGGAAGAGGAAGAGGAGGAGGAGGAGGAAGAAGACGGATAGAAGGACACAAGCTACGCACCGACAATGATCCTAGCCCGGCCCGCCCTGCGTCAAGACTCGTTCCGTGTACACCTTGTCCGGCCTGCGCCAAGAGGTCGTGCACGCCGATCCTGGGTCAGAGGGTCGGTTTGCCACGATGGGCGCTGGTGCACAGCTGGCTTCTCCCCAAGGAGCCCCGGGGAGGCACAAGAAAGCAGCCACACCGCCACTCCACAGCGGCGACGCAGGCTGCTCCACAGACCTCTCCCGGGTCGAGCTGTGACCAGCCAGGGCTTCGAGGCGAATCCAGCCGTGGTGACGAATGGGGGGTAGAGGTGTCGGCACCGTGCCCTCATCTGAACTGACTACCTACCAGACCACCCCAACCCAACCCGAAGGCCCGAATTTCGGGTTGGAGGGGGGTACGGGTTCCATCTGTGTTTCCTCGATGTTCCCCGACCCCCCCCCCTCCTGGAAATGGAGGTCATTTTGAGGCCTTCGGGTTGCGTTGGGGTGGCTTGGTGGGTGGCGATGCACGACGGCGGCGACGACGACGGCAGCGGCGGCGGCGGCGAGCCCGGCGGGAGCCCGAGCCTCTTCCGGTTGTACTCCATGCCCCCGCAGGAGGGCAGGCCCTCGCAGACCGCCCGGCACGCGTCGACGGAGGACGCGCCGTAGAACACGAGGGGCTCGTCGTCCTTCTGGCGGGCCGCCGTCGACGAGAGAGGGGCGGACGAGGAAGGCGAAGGGGCCCTGGGACACACAAACAACTACACACGAATAAAAAAGGATTCCCCATACTTTGCCATATTTTCTTGGTTTTTGTCCTCCCCCCTACTTCCCATAGTTTCCCATATTTTCCTGGGAATCGACGATTAATTGTGTTTGTGTGTTTTTCCCCCTCCTGAGAAGGGGAGGGTGACAGGGGAAAGAGCTGCACAGGGTTCGGAAACTCTCGGGGGTCCGCGCGGGTGTCTGGGATCTGCGCTGGGCCCCCCCCCCCGCGCGCGGACCGCGCCAAGGGTGGCGCCGAAGGTTCAGGGCCGTGCAGGGACGTACGTCTGCTTACGATACAGAACCGCGCACCACCGAAAAAGAAACCCGCTTGGACCGTGCAAAGTTCATGTTGGCACCGCTTCGGTTCCTCAACAGGAGAAGGGGGAGGAGGAGGAGGAGGAGGAGGAGGAGGAGGAGGAGGAGGAGGAGAAGGAGAAAGAGGAGGGCTCCAGGGATCCAAGGTGACTGCAACGGGCTCCGATTGTCGGGGCGGGAAACACAGAATAAATAGATCTGGGCCGGAAAGCGAGGGGGCGATGGTGCCCATCCCCATATCACCTTTCCGTCGGGCCCCCTCCCATTGCAGCAGGCACCTACGTTTAATATACCTGGAGCATCCTGAAGGGGCCTCACAACACACTGCTTGGCTATATTATGCACTCGGGACTCCACACGAGACCACTTGTGATCCGCAAGTCGTTGGTTGGGTGGGCACACGCACTCCAACACGGGGTTCCCCGAAGGGCTGAAAGAAGGTCCCCTGGCGAGTGTTACTCCTACCACGTCCCTCCCCTCCTCCTGATGCAGTGCCCACGAAGATCAGGTCCGTGCCTAGGCATCAGGGCAATCTATGGAACAAAGATGGGGTCAGAATCCGGCCATTTCGCTTTGGATCCGCTCCTGAGGAGCGGCAAGACCGTCCAGAGCATCTTCGTAGCAGAAAAATCTCGCATTCTCCTAAGAAGCTCAGGAAGCGGGCTTCTGGGATGCATTCAGGCTCCAAGACCGGCGCAGTGATCAGCTGGACGATTCCCTTTCCAACCACGAAAGAAAATCACCTGCCATAACCATCTGGCTGTCACTACCACGACGGGGCATATCTGGGCATCCAGTACACATCGATGATCGTTCTGTCGATTTCCACCACATGTATCAAAGAACTCCCTCCGCCGCTTGATTCGAAGATTGTCGGTGCTGGCGCCCCACGGAGAACCGTTCTCCCAAGACCTGGATATGTCAAGATAATCGGTAACGATCGTGATGTTTCCTGGCCCGTTGAACTTCAAGGTACGAATAGCAGCCTAAAGCTCTCAAGTCCCGAACAGGTTGAAGGTAACCGAACTGGCCCGGATATAACTCCCTGCGCATTCCCGAAATTGCCGACCACACAGCATGACCAGCCTGCACGCAACACCGAAGGATGTTGTGGGTTAGCTCCTGAACCAGATGTGCGCACAGCACCCTAAACAGATTCCCCTGGCGAGTTCCTTGTTCCCAAACCACACGACCGTACTGATGCGGAAGCGGGCCACCAAGGAGGAGGAGGAGGAGGAGGAGGAGGAGGAGGAGGAGGAGGAGGAGGAGGGAGGGGGGGGGGGAGGAGGAGGAGGAGGAGGAGGAGGAGGAGGAGAGAGAGGAGGAGGAGAGGAGAGGAGGAGGAGGAGAGGAGGAGGAGGAGGAGGAGGGAGGAGGGAGGAGGAGAGGAGGAGGAGGAGGAGGAGGAGGGAGGAGGAGGAGGAGGAGGAGAGGAGGAGGGAGGTGGAGTAGGAGGAGGGAATAGAGGATGAGGAGGGGGAAGGAGGGAGGAGGAGGAGAGGAGCAGGAGGAGGAAGAGGAGGAGGAGGAGGTGGAGGAGGGAGAAGGAAGTCTGCGCAGCGGTCCTGTAGGCACGACGTGTTCGCGCCGCCCTCGAGGCTGAACCAGGAAGTGCCGCCCTCCGCCCAAGTCGGCATGACCACCTTGAAAGCCTCATCGACGAAGCCATCGCCAGCCTTGAGCGGAAGGGAGGGGAGGAGAGGAGACGAGAGAGAGAGAGGAAGGAGAAGGGGAGACGAGAGGAAGAGGAGGAAGAGGAGGAGGAAACCCTGGCCGACCTTCGCGGACGCCGACAAAGCGAACCAGCCCGAAAAGCGAGACACAACTACGGCGAGTCGGGAGACTCCCCCCTGATCGCCCACAACCTCGAGGCACGCCTCGCAATTGGCCCGACTTTAACGGCGGCCCATTAGTTCGCTATATCCTGATATACCTACTTCGTGCTTCACGGCAACCAGAACAGCCAGCTGCTACCCACCCATTCCAATATCTCCAATATCCTCTTCCCGACACGTACGCACTCACCGTTTGACGGAAGCAGCACAGCTGGTGGTATGGGAATAGACCCTACCTGCAGCAGTACCCTACAGCGTGAACATCAGCCTGGGTCCTTACGAGGCTTTCTCACAACCTTACGTGCCACATCACTGTAGCAGGCAACGCGTGGGTCCCCGAGGGGCATTCTCACCCTCAGCGTGTGAAGGCTCTACCAACCTCCACTCCCTACCTGCTCACCTTCTCTACCCAACTGACCTCCTCGATCCCCTCTTGTGATGGGGAAGGGAAGGTGTGGGAAGGACCTCACCGCAGGCCGTCCTGGCCAGGGTCAGGGTGGCCGCGGCCGCAGCCGCCACCCGCAGCCAGCCACCAGGGCACCTTGCCCCTTGCCTCTCTCGGGCCGGGCGACAGGGGAGGATAGCAAAGGGGGGCTTTGAGAATCAGCTTCCGTAGCTGATTTTCCCGGCGCCTGCCGGCGCCGGAGGCGCCCATATATCGAGGAATGGGCCCGGCGGCTGGGCCGAAACCAGCTGCATGCAGCAAATTTCGTAACCCCCCCTTTCCCAATCCCCCCATTTCGTCCGGCCCGACTCTCCCCCATTGCCACCTATCCCCAGCCTTCCGTGCCAGCAGATCCCCACCTCAAACCTCAAACCTCCACGGTCAGCTCCCAGCAGCTGCCGTCCCCGACCGCCCGCTACACCATGGGAGACTGGGGTGCGGATGCACGCGTGGGCTGGGAAGGATCACCGAACACACACACACACACACACACACACACACACACACACACACGCACACGCGCCACCACCACAGATGGCAGAGACCCCCCCACACACGGTGGAACCCCCCTGAGCAGCCACCGCTCCCGTGACCTGTGATCTGGGTACCCTGCTCCTGCCTCGGCGGGGGAGGGTACCAGTCATGGGGATGGTGGCTGCTTAGGGGGGCTTCCTATGTGCAGGGGGTGAGGCTTTTCTGCCATCTACCCTGGCGAGCGTGGCCGGCGCTGCCTCGCGCCACCACTGGGGGAAGGCCCAAACCTCCCTCAGGCTCGGTGGAAACCCCCAGGACGGCCAAGAGGCCGACGTGCTGGGAACCCCACGCCCGCTTGCAGGCGAAGGATGCCCGCGGGCTTCTGGGACGCCGGTGGGGGTTTCCCGTGGGCAGAGAGGCCCTTGGGCCCTGCCCCGCTGCGAGCGGCACCCCACAGAAGGCCCCGCGGAACGATCTCCGCACCATGCCCCATCGAAGCCACCACCACCGCCTTCACCGCATTTTGTCAGCCTCTCCAGCCTCCCTGTCCTGTGCCGCCAGCTGCCGCCACGTTGTCATCCCTCCCTCTCCCATGTTCGAGGTTATGATGCGATTTCATGTTGTTTCCCCGCCTTCTCCCCACCCTCCTGATCTGCAGGACTTCGGTCCCCCATGTTATTTTTTCGTCTACTCCCCCAGGGTGGCCCGACTGGGCCTCCCTGGGGGAAGCGGCAACGTCTGAAGACATTCATGCCGTGAGGAACGAGGACCGAGGAGAAGGAGGAGGAGGAGGAGGAGGAGGAAGAGGGGGACCTGTGTAAACCCAAGAGTCATCAACGATGTTGGAGTAAACCCTCCCCCAAGCTCCCTTTTCATAGGCTCCTACAACGGCTCATCTCCACTGAGGGAATTGCCTCGTCGGAAGACAACATTTTGTATGTTTCTGAAGCGTGCCAAAATATTGTCCTCGGAATTTCAACGCCACGGATCAACCTGACTTTTGCGTCTGGACGAGCCCGAATCGTGCCAGAACGCCATTCCTGGTACTTCAACACTGCGAATCAACGTAGCCGTTACACCCGCAGAATCTTGAACCTTTCCCAAAAACCGTCTCTGGTACGCTGATCATGGGAATCCGTGGAACTCTTGTAAACGGTATAAGCGAATGTGCGCGGCACTGAGGAGAAAACCACATTTTGAAAAGACACCACCCTCAACCCGTGAAACTCTTGCAAACTTGTAAAACACTTGTACACGACGCTAAGACGAGAAAAACATGTTGAAAACCACCCGCCCTCCATCCGTGAAAAAACGTGCATGCTTAACGAGTGCGCGCGGCGCTAAGGCGAGAACCGCATTTTAAAAAGGAACCGCCCTCAATTCGTGAAGCTCTTGCAAATTTGTAGAACGAATGTGCGCGGCGCTCAGGCGAACCACATTTTGAAAACGGGCCGCCCTCAATCCGCGAAACCCTATCAATTTAAAAACGACTGTGCGCGGTGCCAAGGCGAGAGCCACAGCAACAAAAAACGCCCTCGACGTCTCAGGCGAAACGCCAGGACCGCCCTAAAAACTGGCCTCAGGATGCGACAGGGAGAAGCTATTCAAAGGAAAAGGAATGGAGCGGAGAAGGAGGGGGGGGAGCAGCCGGAGGAGAGAATAGGAGAAAGGAGCACGGATGAGTAGGGAGGTGTGGGGAGGAAGGGAGCGGGTGAGGAGAGACGGAGGAGGGATGGAGGAGGGGTGGAAGAGGAGGTGGATGAGGAGGAGGAGAAGAGAGGAGGAGGAGGAGGAGGAGGAGGACGAGAGGAGGAGGAAAGAGGAGGAGCAGGAGGAGAGGAGGAGGAGGAGGATAAGGAGCAGGAAGAGGAGGAGGAGGAGGAAGAGGAGGAAGAGGAGGAGGAGGAGAGAGAGAGGAGAAAGGAGGAAAGAGGGGACGAGAGGAGGAGGGGGGAGGAGAGAGAGGTCCAGGTCTCCGACGACTCACCCCCTCCCTCAAAGAGAAAACGAGCTCGAGGCCCTTCGCCGTGTTTCCCGCCCTCTCACGGACGGGAGCCGCTTTTTCAGGCGCTCCGAGGTGAGAGTACCTCAGCGCCTGTCCACAAGATTCGGAGGAGGAAGAAGAGGAAGAGGAGGAGGAGGAGGAGGAGGAGGAGGAAGAGGAGGCAGCCGACGCTACAGACCTGCGTGGCCCACCGGCTTGCGAAAGAAAAGGAGGAGGAGGAGGAGGAGGAGAACAACGACGACGCCGACGCCGACGACGACGGCGACGTCGCCGGCGGCGACGACCACGACGACGACGAAGACGCGAGCACCGAGGGGGGGCGAACGAGGAGGCGACACGGGAGAGGAACGAGACGCAGGGGCCCCTGCTGGACCGCGCGCCCGGGGAGGGGGTCGAGAGCTCTGCAGGGGCCCTCGTCGGCCTCGGGCGGGAGGCCCGGGGAAGGGTCGGGGTCGCACGGGAGAGAGGGGAGGTGTGCTGTGAGAGGCGCCAGGGAAGCAGCTCTCATCCACTGGGATCGCCGCGGGGGTTGCTAAGTGGATGGGGGGTTCTGCCAAGGGCCAAGGTGCTTCTACCTGGCCCAACCTGGCTTATGAGTGGGTTGCACGTTCCCTCAGTGGCTTGGGGGGGGTGCATGGCCCGGACGTTCGCATCCCCAAAGCCACTTAGGGCTTTTGTAACCCATTCATCAGCCAGGTTGGGCCAAATCTAACCACCCTGGTATCCTCTTATAACCCCTCTACTCACTTGACAACACCCGGGGCGATCCCAATGGCTGGTGTTGACCGGCGCCACTCGTCGCTGGAGGCGCCAGTGCATGGAGCAAAACGCCTGGCGGCGGGGCCGACACCAGCTGCACGCAGCTGATCTCGTAGACCCCCCCTTTCTCAGTCCCCCTTTCGACCGACCCGAATGGGCGGCGCGCACCAGGGGGTGGAGGGAGGGGGGAGGGCTTCGTAGAAGGAGGCTGCCTCTCAGAGGGCGCCGGCCCTACACCTCTAGGCAAGGACAAAGGCCTTCCAAGAGCCAGTGGTGCCTCCAAGAAGCCCTCCCCCCTCCCCCCCTTCCTTGAGCAGGGACCGACCGTCCTATAGTCCTACCACGAAATGTTCTCAGAACCCAAACATGTTCTGAAAACAAAAACAATGATCTTAGAACATAAGCCCGACTCCGCCAGAAATGTTCTAAGAACACTTCGTGGAAACCACGAGAGGCTCTTAGAACATCGTTTGGCAGGGCCATAGGCGAGCCAGGACGCTTCGCCACTGCTTAACTTCCCCCCCTCTGCGCTTGGCTGGCCGACGGAGGGGGGGGCCGGACCGCCGACGTCGCGGTGTCTTCCACATCCTGGCGTGCCTCCTCGACGTCGGCCCCCCGCGAGGGCGCTTTGGGCCGGCGGCCGGGGCCATCCAGATTTGGACGCCAGAAATGGGTACGGAAAAAATGGGTACAGTGCCCAACAACAACTGTTGTCCCAAACCAAGAGCGGCTGCTGTTGGGCAGGCGGCCTTGTGTCTCAAATGGACACAGCCCGCGGCGGCGCGGACAGCGAGTCCTATCCAAGTTGAACAGGAACTGCTGTCGGGCATTGTACCCATTCTCTCCGTACAAATTTCGCTCGTGCCGACCAGAGCTGCCCTGGGCGAAAGCTGCGGTCCCAGGGAGGAGGTCGGAAGCTCTGGGACGGGATCACTGCCCCGGAGCGCCAGAGCCGCCCGGAAACCCGATTCGGAGCGCGCTCCAGGAGAGGTCCCAGGGGCGGTTTCGCGAATCGCTTTTTCCAAAGCCCTTCTTCCCCCTCCTTACAGCCCTCCTCTGGGTCTGGCCGACCACCCGCCCGCCCCGCGCGAGCGGTCCGAGCGTCCGAGATGGCGCATGGTGGCTCCAGGAGGGCCACGGATAGCCCAAGGTCCCAGG